CAGCCCCCAGTGCATACCTGGAAGGTCTGTGTGCTGTGCTGCTGCTCATGGGCCCAGATGAGGAGGAGGCTGAGCAGAAACCCCAGGCTGAAGAGGACCAGCAGCAGGGAGTAGCTCCAGGTTGGCAGGTGGAGGTGGGTGTTGCCAAACACCAAGATAGAGCACAGGCAGATGGCGGACACCATCAGGGTAACCACACCAATGGTGACCACCTCTCCTGGGTAGAAGTCACTGAGGAACTCCAGGTAGGGTTCAAAAGCTGCCTTCAGCTGCCCTGGCTCCCGCTGCTCTTTGCTCTTGTCTCCATCCACCAGCTGGAGCTTGTCGGAGAAGGACTCGTACTCCTTCAGCTCACCAGTGGCAGGGCCCTCGCTGGGCCCAGGACTGGTCTGCTTGCCGGCTGGCTGACCGGGAATATCTATTTTCTGCTGCTGGAAGCGCAGCACAATGATGCTGGCAGCCACAAAGGTGTAGGCCAGAAGAGTGCCAATGGACAGGAACTGCACCAGGGCCTCCAGGTCGAAGATAAGGGCCAGCAGTGCCATGAGCATCCCAAACACCACAATGCCAATGACGGGCACCTGTGTGCGGGGGTGGACCCGGGAGAACACCTGGAAGAAGAGCCCATCCTCTGCCATGGCATAGACAATGCGTGGCAGGGAGAAGAGGTTGCTCAGCAGGACTGTGTTCATGGCTGAGGGAGAAGCAGAGAGGGGACCCTCGTCAGACCTGGCACATGGCCCAAACCACCCCAGGATCCCAGCTGGTAGCACTGCAGCCCCAAGCTCACATGTACCAACCCAGAGAGAGAAGAGGAGACAGCTCCCACCCTGTCCTGCCCACTGCCACCCCCAGCCTGCCTGTACTCACCGCAGATGGAGCCAGCAGCTACCAGAAATCCTGCCCAGGAGTAACCCCTCCGGTAAAATGCATCCGCCAGGGCAGAGTCAGGGTCCAGTGTATACCAGGGCACCATCAGCGTCAACACCATAGACACTAGGATGTAAGCCCCAGTGGCCAGCCCCAAGGAGAAAGCTATCGCTCTAGGAACTGCCTTCTGGGGGTTCCTGGCTTCTTCACTCGAGGCTGCTATGACGTCAAAGCCCACAAAGGCATAGAAGCATGTGGCTGTTCCGGCCATGATGCCTGACAGCCCAAATGGGGCAAAACCTCCTTCCTTAGCACTCCAGTTCTTGGGCTGTGCAAGGATGAAGCCTGTGATGAGAATGAAGAGGATGACACCCATGCTGATGGCTGAAAAGACATGGTTGAGCCAGGAGGAAACTTTGGCCCCAAAGGAGATGAATGCAGTGGCTACTAGCAAGATGCCAGCTGCCAGGAAGTCCGGGTAGTGCGCCAGGAATGGCACCTGCCATGTGCCAATGTGGGTCTCAGTGAAGTTCTTTATTTTGTGGTTAAAGATGGAATCCAGGTAACCACTCCATGCCCTGGCCACTGCAGCTCCTCCGATCATGTATTCCAGCAGCACATTCCAACCGATGAGGAAGGCCCAGATCTCACCCACAGACACGTAGGTGAACATATAGGCAGAGCCTGTCTTGGGTACCCGGGCCCCAAACTCAGCATAGCAGAGAGCAGCCAGGAGCGAGGCAAAGCCAGCAATGATGAAAGAGACAATGACAGCAGGGCCAGCAATCTCCTTGGCTACAGTGCCTGTGAGGACATAGAGCCCAGAGCCCACCATGCCCCCGATGCCCAGCAGTGTCAAGTCAATGGTGGAGAGGCATCTGTTGAAGGATGTCTCCATCATGTTGTCCTCCAAGGTCTTTACTCGGTTGAGTTTCTGGCAGAAGCGGGTCAGGTCTGCAGAGCGAGGCAGCCATCTCGCCATCTTTGAAACACACAGGGCCTTGCCCTCTGGGAGTGCAATGGGGGACACAGCAGCAAGGCTCTTAAGATATCCCTGCTCAGAGACCTAATGGGGAAGTAGGAAGATGTGAGCAAGCCTATTCACATAAACAGCCTGAAAGCCAGCTCAGAGTAATGCTCAGCTCAAAAACACTCTGATTACATTCTGCTACACTGGACTGAGCCAGACTGAGTCACCTTACTACAACCCTGCAGAGACTCGTCTAAGCTGCCCTGTCTTCCATCACCCTGATCCCACACCTCAGGCAAGCGCATCTCAGTCACTGTGGGCAAGAGCTGAGCAGCCTGATGAGTGCGGTGAAACTCAAGAGGAAGATGGCCTCAAAGCGCCAGGTCAGAAGTGGTGGGGACGGGGCAAAAAAATCACTGGAACACATTTCCCCAGACTGAAACCTCCTAGGTCTAAGTGTCCCTCTGTCTTTAGCAACTAGGTGTGGGGCTCAGCACTGAACTGTGCCTGTACTCCTCCAGGGTGGCTGGAACAGGAGAGCTAGCCATCCCTGCCAGCCACCCACGCACTCACACAGTGGAGACCTGTGCTGCGGTGCTGACCCAGAGGAATAGCCAGGAAGAAATCACAACATCCACAGGACAGGTTTTCCCCAGCTTTTCTTTTTAAAATAGGCATTAAAGCCCAAATCAAGCAGCTTTAGCCCTGATGAATGTTTCTTTGCAGCTTCCCCTCCACCTTTTAATGCCTGCCTGGCCCTCTCACTTGCCACTGGTGGCCCTGACCAGCTGGGAACCTACTGTGGTGGCCTACAAGGGCTCTTCCCTATGCAGCATCTTGCTTTTTCCACAGGGAAAACCCAGGCACAGAGATGTGCAGCAGACAGCATGGAGAGGCCAGGCACAGGGAATTCCAGACCAACTCCAGGGATAATGTGGGCGTTCTTTGCCAGAACAGGAAACATATCAACTGCTTGGGTACCAGATAGATACAGAGCTAAGGGGGCTGGCAGTCATTTCTGAACAGCTGAAGGCTGTGGGAGGAGGCAACTCCTTGTATGGTAGGACTCTAATTCATGGATGCTCCTATAGAGCTGTCTGGAAGTTCGAGGCCACACGGACAGGCTCTCCAGTTCCAGCTGTCTCCTTTTTCCTCTGTATCCCAGGGCTGTCCACTAGGGCATGTCTCCATGCATCTGCAGTCCCCACAGGCCCTACTTAGAAGACCCAGAGCTAGAATGCAGGTCTGTGTAGCTGGGGACCCCAGCTGCTCAACCCTCCTGGGCCCATCTGCTCGCTGAACTCCGAGGCCTGAAGGTCACAGAAAGACCTCAGCCATCCTAAGCCGGTGGCAACGATCCCTGTCCACAGGGGAAACAGGCTTTGCCTGTATTGGTTACATTTGCTATGTGTTACAGGAGGGGAGCTGAGCCACCCCCAACCCTGCTCACAGAGATACATGCGCAAATCCTGCATCTGTGTTGCCAAAAAAAAAAAAAAAAGGTAGTCATCAGAAACATTTGTGCACTTGACTCAAATTCACCAAATAGTTTCAGCAGAAAAAGAGGATGTGAAGAATGACCCCTGAGCAGTGTGGAGGGGACGGTGCACCCGTGGCCCCGTATGGACCCACCTGGAGAAGACCCACATCTGAGTCCCTCCTGCACCTGCTGAGCTGAAGCTCTCAGTTCAAGCACTGCTTCCACCCCAGTTCAGACAGGGAGAGGGGAGGTGTAAACTCTGCTGCCAGAGCTGCTCAGGCTTCCCTGAACAAGCAAGCCCTCCTGGACCAGGAATTCAGAGCCTCAATCCGTCATCAAGCCACTGGAACCTGCACCCTTTGTTTGAGCAGTTACTTATCTAAGTCAGGAGCTCTGCAGCAGGGCCAGAGCTTCACAGAGTGTCCTATTGCCAGGTGGGTAAGGGGTGGCAGCGTTGGGTGATGGTCCCCAGGCAGGCTGAGGGACCCAGTGTTCCCTGGGACAAGCAGGCCCTTTGCTGCGCTCTCCCAGGACAGAAGTTTGGCCTCCTGTTTTATTTTTACTGTTTTGCTCCTTTGGGGGGAAAAGGAGAAAGTTTAAATCCTGATCAGCTCTTCCTACATGTTGTCCTTTGGGCAGCAGCCGAGCCC